TAAAACTATAGAAGATATTATAAAGGTAAAAAAAAAAGCATAGCAATAATATAAAAATACAAAGGTTCAACGAATATTAAAAAGATAATGAAAAAGAATGTAAAAAAAATTGATTCTGTAAGTTATATGTATATATATACCAACGCGTTGCATTTTGTGTAACATGACAAATCTCATAACGGTTTTGGTTTTTTTTACTTGTTTTTAAGATAAAAAATATCGATTAATTTGTAAGAAACCAAAAAAAAAGAGCGTTATTACTTTAAAGAGTACTTTAAAACAAATCCAGTTTTATCTATGTGGGTTTGCTGGTTTAAGGGTTATTGTGGCTTGAATTTTATTATATATTTACTATCTACCTTAGATCTAAAAAAATAGAATTTATCGTTATTATATGATTTGTAAATTGACTGATAGGCCACACCCCAGTATGATACGTACAAATTATATACACCTGATATTACTGTATTACCTTAAATAACTGATAATATATAGTTATTAAATACATAGCAGACAATAATATATAGTTATTGGATGCGAAGCATCCAATAACAGTTTTATTTGGCAGAAAAAATGAGAATACCGTGATCTGAAGGATCACGGGATGATCATTTTGGATGACAAATAAAAAAAGCATCTGGCAGTGAATTTTTATGCACGAGCACCTGGGCCCCGAAGGGGCCCAGATGCGAGTGCATAAAAATTCACTGCCAGATGCGATTGTTATTGGTGCGAAGCATCCAATAACGGATTTATTTTTTTTTTTTTAATCGAAGTAAACGAAAAGTCTAGTCTTGAATTATGTTACAATATTAATAAACAGGTAAAAAAAGAATTATATCAATTAATAAGCTATTGCCACAGGTATTAATGAGAATTTTCTAAATTAGTGGAAATTTTTTTTAAGAAAAAATAGAACAGAATGATGACCGGTACTAAAATTCGAGTAAGTTGAAGTAATCAATAGCTTATTAAATTAATTAGCGATTGTTAACTGATCAATGATGTAATATTTCATAGGCGTATAAATAAAATAAAATAAAAAAAAAAAAAAAAAATTTAAAAGTGCACTTTTACTTTTATATCGCTCACCATATCCAGTATCGCTTATCTCATACTATCTAATACACTATCACTCACCTATACTGCTTTAAAAAAACAATGCCGAAAGTAAGAATTTTAGATAACAGTAAAAAAAAAAAATAAAAAAAAAAAATAAATATGCAAATTTATTAATGTCTATTTTTTTTGTTTTTGATAGCAAAAAACATCCAAACCAAACACCGGAAGCTTTAAACCTTCCAAAGAAGAAATACAACATATCAAAAGTTCCACGGTACCAGAAAACACAAAAAAAACAATTGATAATTGGGTTCGAATATTAAATAATTGGCGTGAGAATGTTGGTTATGAGTATCAAATTGAAACTATTCAAAACAAGCAACAGCTTGAACAAGAAATGGTTGAGTTTGTGTGTGGTGTACGACAATTAAGAAATGGGGAGGAATATGCACCTTCGTCATTACGCAATGCAATTAATTGTCTTGCGATGTATCTTCTAGATCAACCTTTAAATATTAATAAATATAACTTGGCCAGTAAACAAGAATTTAGAGATTTATGGAAGACATTAGATGGTAAACTAAAGCAGCTTAAAAAAATAGGAAAAGTTGCACGACATCATGATCCCTTGACTAATGCAGAAATTCAAGCAATATTTGCACATGAAGCGATATCCATCTCTCATCCCCAAGGCTTACAATACCGTATATTTATGTGGTGCTGTTTGCTTTTTGCTCCCCGGGTGGTGAGCATGGTGAAATGCGTGTATCTCAGTTTGTTTTTACTTCAAATGGTGGTTTACAATTTACAAAATTCTCTCAAAAAAATGATCAAGGCGGGATCGATGGCAATTTAGATTCATTAACTATCCCTGTGCCACCTGATCCTAAAGGATTACTTGGCCCTATTCATGACATAAAATTATATATTGATCGTCGACCAGCTAATTTTACTTGTGAATTCTTACATTTAAAAATAAATAAACATTCAAAAGGTATCTAATGAATTTATTTAAAATAAATAAAAAAAAATAAAATAAAAAATATTAATTATGAAATTCTAGCTATTGTTAAAGGCGAATGGTATCTTGATTCAAAACTTGGAACCAAAACTTGTGGTAGCCTTATGAAAAGCATTTGTAATGCAGCTGGTATCAATACTCAAGGTCGCGATATAGTTAATCATTCAGGTCGTACAACCCCAATCACCTCTCTCTATCAAGCTGGTGTGCCGATTATTACTTCTATGGCAATCTCAGGGCACAAAAGCGAATCTTCCTTTAGAATTTATTCAAGACCATCAGATAAGCAAAAGGAGGAGGCTTTGGCTTTTTTAATTAGAACCACTGGCAAATTACCATTAAATAAAGTAAATTACTTGATTAATTGATTGATTAGATTAATTTACTTATTAATTGAAAAAAATTCTAAAAAAAATACTTAACTCAGGAACCAATTTCGACATTAGTATCATCTCAAGGATCAGTATCATCTCAAGAATCAGAATCGTCTCGGGAATCAGCATTGTTTCAAGAATCAGCATCGTCTCATGAATCTGAATTGTATCAAGAATCAGCATCATCTCAAGAATCGACATTACATCAAGAATCAGCATCATCTTATGCAGCACCAGTATCGCAACGATTTTCATCAAATGATTTTCATATACCTTTTAAAGATAGTACACGACCAAATTTACCTTTGCATTCTAATGCATCTATTAAAAACCCAACATTAGGTGGTGTGAGACGTTTGAAAAGAAAAAAAACAACAATTATTAACAATTATTATAATATTACTGCTGATTCTGTAACTTTTAATTAGTCTAGAAATAGTGAATAATTATTAGTTAATATATGTACAAATTACATTAAATAATAAATACTGCAATTTGAATGCTTGAATTTTTTTAAAAAAAACATAACTTAAAGCCCAATTATCTAAAAATGCATGCTTTGTTCAATAGAATTTAAGAGTCTAGTACTGTTATGCCTAATTCGAAGATCTAATAATGTCGTTCCCTGTCTAAAACAATTTAAAGAATCTAGAGATCCATTAGTATAGCTTCACGCCCAATAGAATTTTAAAAGAAATGTTGTGTTCCTTCCAATAGAATTATAAAAGAGCCAAAGATCTAATAATGTCATGCCTTGTCAAAGTCAATTGTAAAGAATATGATCTATTATAGCTGTTTCACGCCCAATAGAATTTTAAACAAACAAAGGTCTAGTAATGTCATGCCACTTTCAATACGTAGAATTTAAAAGAACCTAAGTTTAGTAAGTTCATACCTTGTTCGAAGAACTAACAATGTAGTTTTACGCTTAAAAAGCCGAAGGTCTATGTGTCGTGCAATGGAATTTTTAATATCCAGGTATGGAAATTTGGCAAATAACAAGTAGATCGCGTGAGTTTATTTGAGCTTATTTGGCGTATAACATCTGTTATACGACCTACGTTTACTATGAAAAAAAAAAATAATAACAAATAATCATATGATATATTGAGTGATGAATAGTTTGATAAATAGTATAATAAATATTGATTTGATTAATAAGTAATAGTAAGTATAAAGTTATAGAACTAGCTATATAAAGAGAGAAAAATTAGAATTTGTTTATTTTCTTTTATCTTTGCAACTAGCTTGATGCAAGTCTAGCTTTGTTAGTAGTTCCTTTTCTTATTACTAGAGAAAGAAAATAAGTTAAATAGAAGTAGAATAGTGTTTTTAAAAATAATAGATATTAGTTTTGTAGCCTAGATATATAGTCTAAATACTAAAAGAAGAGTTTGATAGCACAATTAAACAAATTAAATATTAAAGATAAAAAAAGAAAAAAGAAAAACAAAAAATAAAAAATAGAAATGATACTAAAAAATTATTATTGTCTATATAAGCAGTGAGATAAAATTCTATAAAGTGTATTTTATAGTAGTATTTATATAATCAAGTAACAAAATATAATAAAATCAAAGTTTTTTCAAAAAAAAAATTATAAAATTAATTAAAATTTATCAAGAAAGTTTTATAATACAGTCTACCCTTATTAATATCTACTTCATTAATATTGACTTAAAACTATAAAATAAATTTTTACAAATTATTATATATTAAAATTCTCTTATATATATCAACTTTATTATAATCACTTGTTAATATCACTATTAATATAAATTTAAACTAATTCAAATAAGTTGATATAAATAAGAGTAGATTGTATATTGCTAAATACTTTTGGATTGAAAAATTAATAAAATTAAAAGATTTGAACTCTACAAATATAAAATTAATTATTTAAAAATTTTATATATAATTATTATTAAATAAAAATAACAAGATTGTTACTTTTCTATCTTTTTTATTATTTCAATCTAAATTAACAAATGCCAATAGTTTTTATTAAAATATACTCAACTATATTTTTAAATTAACATTATACCTTGGTTACAAGATTGTTTTCTGGATAAATCTAATATTCTAAATATTAAAACTGGAAGGTTTTACTAGTATAAATAGAGTTTTTAACTATATATTATTAAAATTGAAATATCAATGCAATACTGTTAATATTAGTTTCATATTATAGAAACATTTTATCAAAAATTTATTTAATATATTTATATTTTATATTTGCAAAGGTAATCTTCTTTTCAACTCTGAAACAGTTTAAATTTGCAAAAGTAGATGCAAAAATATATTCTATAAAGATATTCATAATTACTTTTGTCTTTAATAGATTTAATATTTTTAATTCTTCAAAGTCTAAAATATTGTATAATTGTATAAATAAATAGTTGTTTTTGTAAAGCATTAAAAAAATAAATAAATAAATAAATAAGTAAGTAATTAAACCTTTAGAAAAATTAAGGTACAATCTAGATTTGATAGCTTATAACATTGTTACAAGATAAATCATATATTTAATAGTTTATAATATAAAATATAGACTTTATATAACAATGCAACCTGCCAAAAATATAATATTGTTGATTTGTTTAATTTATTAAAAGAATTTATCAGAGTGATTTATTAAATATATTATGAAAAAATTATTAGAATCCTGAGTATGGTGGATAAAACAGAATTTAGACAATTGATATTGTGACTTAGAAAATTTAATAAATTTTTTTTTAATTTTTTATATAGTTTAAAGTATTTTATATTCTTGTGATTTTTCAAAACCTATTAAATAAACTTGTTCTAAAAGGAATATTAGGAAAAGATCTCCACATGACCTACTTTGTATTAAAATTAATCAAAAATTATTACAATATTCAAAAAGTTTTATTAGCGGTAAGTTTTATAAGAAATCAAAAGTAGTTAAATTCATAATTTAAATAAAAAATAGTTTTTTTTATTAAAACTAAAAGTAGGGTGTGGCAGCCTAGTAAGTGGTCTAGTTGTCACTCCACCAAGTGGCAGGTCTAGAGTTCGAATCCTACAGATGACATTTTTCAAAAAATAGATTTGCATTAGGTAACGATTATCTATCGATCGGTTGGATCTAGAAATCTGTAATCTTGGTTG